CCCCGCCCCCTTCCCGTCACCTGTCTTTCGGCCAATGGGAGCCTTCCTCCCTGCCCCCGGCCCTTATTTGAAGCCCCGTCCCATTCAAGGGGGATGGGAGGGTCGGGGCGGTTCTTTGGTTGGTGGGCGCTTACCTCATTCACGTTTTCAGACCCCGGAAAACTGGAGTCTGAAGGGAAGCGTGCAGCGCGGGGTGCTGCCGGGACAGTGCAGGGCTGGACTCCTCCGCGGCAGACCTGGAGGAAAAGGAACAATAAGTGCCACGTTGTTTTCCGCCTCTAGATCTGTTACTGTTTAGTATTTCCTTAGCTCTGTGAGAAGCCAGTTCTAGGGAGTGGTTACACTTCTGTTCTGCGGGCAAGAACTTGGTCCAGGTGGCGACTAACACGTTCCTGTGCTCATTGCGAAAGGGGGAACTGAAGCAAAAGGGTAAAGCAAATGAATTATAATGTGAAATCTGGAGGGGCTGGAAGTGTCATCTCATTTTTGACCAGCACTTCATTTTACAAAGTAGGAACTATGGCCAGAAGCGTAAGGTAGATGACTTGTCAGGGTTATACACCTGTGAGTATCAAAATCAAAACAAGAACAGATAATGTTAATACCTGGAGGGCAGGTACCTTTAACATCTAGCACGCGAAGGTTGAATAAGTAAGTAGTAGTTTTTGTTTGTTTGGTTTGCTTTAGTTGAAAGAAAGGTGGAATCTCTTAATGACTGCGTTATTTCTTTGAGCTTTGTTGTTCTTTGTATGTCTTTCCTTCAGAAAGTATTCACTGTGCACCTATGTTGTGTCAAACACTGTCAGTGCCATGGAAGTCCATCAGTGTCGCTGGAGACAGCAAAGTATCTGTGAAGTGACTTACAGGGTGTGAGGAAATGGACAATAAACAAACAAATAAGTAAGAATGTCTCGATCTTCCGGTTAAACATCTAATCTCCCTATTGAACTTAATCTGTTAAATGAACCAGTTTAACTCACAGGAATTTGTGATAATCAAATAAAATTATGCATAGCAAGTGCTTTGTCATTTTAAAATATTATCGTTAAGGTATTAAGGGATTTGTCTAAGATCACGTGGCAGTCTGGAAAGAGTAGTTTAGCACTTAATTACTACTTAATTGCTTTAAAACAGTTGTTTTTCTTCATGAGCTTGCCTGGAGGGGATATCATGTACAAATTCAACTCATTTATTTTCTTATTGGACAATTGCAAATACTTCCCAACTGGTAATAATCAAAACTCAAGAAATTTTGTAAGGTTATTCTGAGTAGTTACTTTTATGCATATGGGAGTTCTGATGGCATATTGCTTAAGACATTTGACTGCTAAGCAGAAGGCTGGCGGTTCAAACCCACCAGCCACTTCTCGGAAGGACGATTGGGCGATCTACTTCCGTAGAGATAAAGCCTCGGAAACCCAAGGAGGGGTCGCATATAGGGAGGCCATTTTGATTCCAGAAAAGGCAAATGAGGAAGCCAGGTACAGTGAGGTTTATAAAGAGAAGAAACAGAAATATGATCAACCCTCTATATCCCTCGTTCTGCATCTGTGGATTCAACCAACCAGGGATTGAAAATATGGGCGGGGGGGCTCCTAAAAAGAAATTAATTGATCAAAATCTGTTAGACGCTAAAAGGGAGCATAAAGTGCTATTTACATTGAATTTTCATTGTATTAGATATTATAAGTAATCTAGAGATGATTTAAAGTATATGGGAGGATGTGTGTAGGTTATATGCAACTACTATGATCGGTCCGACTTGACGGCACATAACAACAACAACATGCTATTTTATTTAAGGAACTTGAGCATCCCTGAATTTTAGAATGCTGGTATTCCAGGAGGTTCCTGGAACCAATCTTCCCCCTCTCCCATACAAAGAGACAACTGTATAGAAGAACAACCATTCCATTGGCCAGTCTTAATATGATTGTTTGAGCCCTGCTTTCGCCCTTTATTGAGATCAACTGATAACAATTTACTTCTGGCCTGGCTGCTGATAATTTTGTTCTTCACTCACCTGAGGCCAAGAGACTTTTCACAATCTAAATTAGGAGGTAATGGTTTGTTAACTATTTTTTTTCTAGCAGGATAAGACAAGTATGCCTTGCTATAGAACAGTTTCTGGCAGGCATGTCATGGTTACTATTTGGTTGTGTGGATAAAGGAAAACCTTAAAATCAGAGATGTCTGTTATTAATTTTCCTCTTCAACACTGGCCCCTTTGACTCTAGACTCTACCACAGACTTCAGCATTGGTGTCTTTAGGGTTGGCATCACCCCACCCCTGAATCTCTTCCCATACCAGACCATACAGAATCCTTAGCAATGTTTATTATCAATTTTAATCACATGTGATAAATATAGCTGTAAACTACTTAAATGTAATATTACTTAGATGATATGAATAAACAAAACAAAACAACAGCAAAAAACAAACGCACTGCCATTGAGTCAATTCTGACTCATGGAGAACTGCATTATAGGGTTTCTAAGACTGTAAATATGGAAGCAGACCACCTCATCTTTCTTAACAACAAAATTGCGGAGCCCTTTTTGATTTTTCTCCCTCTTTCCCTTTACTACTTTGTTCTCAAAAATATGATTGATACAGGCTCACAGATACTAAGTACCACAATACTATAGGTAAAACACTCGAGAATTTGACAAAATCAGTGACTATAAAAACATCAGCAGCAAAGATTGGGCAATCTACCTCCACAGAGATACTGACTCGGAAATCCAAGGAGGGGGTCACTATGAGTTGAATTGACTTGACAGCAGTGAGCTTGGTTTTTTTGCACACGCAGATGAAATCATGTGACTTGAGGTGTCATTGTAATTGAGTAATGATAACAGTTCTGACAGGAGCACATTAGAAGGCTCAAAAAGAAAATTAGATTTTTAGCCTTTTAGGTGTGTTGATACATGTAAGCGGGACTTACAAAAAATACTTTTGTTCTTATAAGTAACCACAGGGATATTTTTATTAAAAAATAATAAATTTCTGCTGAATTCCACAAAAATATATAGACAGTCATTTTGGTCACCCTCTCTGACAGAATCACCAGGTACGATCTGCACCTCTTGTACCCCCCCCCCCCAGTGATGCCACTAGACTTCAGAATAATCACTTTTATGTTAAAGATGCTATATCTGAAGATTTGTAGGCCTAGAGCCAAGTGGCACTGATTCATTAGTTAAAGAGTGGGCTCCAGAAATCTTTATGTTGGTGTATCCTGCATTTCTTTCCAAATTCTTATGCAGGAAGGGTGAAAGAAATAATGTTCCAATCTTAAACTCAAGCCTACCCTTTATGCTGACCCTACACAAAGTTATCTTTCTAAAACATAATTTTGATCATTTATTTCCCTTACTTAATAATGTTTATTAATCTCTGGTGTTTATAAGATAAAGTTCAAACTCTTAAGTGTGGCATCTAAAGCATTTCAGTCAGGCCTCTGCCTGTCTTTCAAACAACAAACATCTTTCCTTCCCCACACACTATTTATTCATCAACCATGAATCATTTCTTTATGTTATTCCTTGGACATGGTATATTCTTTCTTGACTGATTTTGAATATGCTGTTGCTTCTATTTTGAATGCCCATTTTCTTCTCCATTTGATGTTATGCAAGACTCAGCTAAAAGGTTGAAAAGACAGCTCTTTCTGGGTTCACCATTGCCCTTTTAGCACTCTGCATGTACACTGTGGTATGTTATAGGATTATAAAGATAATTATTTGATTTCTTGAGTTTGATCCTGTCATGAGCCCTTTACAGCATAGATTTCTTTTGTGGTCCCAGTGTCTGGTTTAATAAATGTTTATGGAATGAACATATATATGTGTATAAGGAGCTCTGGTGGTGTAGTGGTTCAGGCATTTGGCTGCTGAGTAAAATGTTGGTGGTTTGAACCCACCAACTGCTCTATGGAAGAAAGATGGGATAGTCTGCTTCCATAAAGATTTACAGCCTTTAGATGACTGGAACCTTTCAAAAATTAAATTCTTACGTGCATCTAAAGACTTCTACAAAAGGGTAAAAAGAGGACCTACAAATTGGGAAAAAATATTTGGCTATGACATATCTGACAAGGGAGTTAGCTCCAAAATGTATAGAAAACTTCAACACCTCAACACCAAATACAAGGTACAGATTTAATGCATAGAAGCTGAGAAAAGCAGGTGGGGATAGCCAAACAGGAATATACCCTAGACCATGGATAGATTTGGCTGAAGATAATCTTACATATGCATTTGTGCTTCAAAATTAGCCACATACATTACAGAAACAACTGAAGGCAGGGTTGAAGCAACTTCTCAGAAACAACCAAACATCTTGTGAGAGAGAATCACCAGGCTTGGGGGCTCGGGACCATAGTCTTGGGGAACATCATGCTCAGTTGGCACACATAGTTCATAAAAATTTTGTTCTCCAACTTACTTTGGTGAG